CAAAGGCAGGCTCTGTTTAACAACTTTTCTGTACTCCCATTCTGGGGATGCAATTCCATTACATAAGCAGAGCCAAACAAAAATCATTCTGAAGACATCTTCTAAAGGTTCAGTGGGTATTGCTCTGAAAAGCCCTGGGACTAGGAACAGCGACTAGGGATTGCCAGGACACGTGCCCGTGCAGAGAACAGGCGTGCCACGTGCCCCGGAGTACCGGGCCCTGGCCTTCACTATGTCCCTGGGTCCCTAAAAAGCCAGTGAGCCTTCCGACAGCAACTCCCCGTGAATGCGGCCAGTGGAACTCAACTGCAGCAGCGATCTGCCTGCACTGTTACTCAGAGTTACTCAGCATAATTGATGCACATAATATTCTACAGCAGTCGTAAATATGGTGCTAGTATTGCTTTCTTCAGAGAAACAAAGTCAGTGCAAAACTACAGGTTGTTAAACTCACCCAACATCAAACCCAGAAGTGCTGACTTCCAGAACTCCATCATGCAAAGCTGAAAAATAAGGACAGGCGGCAGCAGTTTGCAATGCACGTGTTGTTTGATGCATCTTTACACTCAGCTGAGAAGTAACAGCCAGCCCTGCCATATGCACATTACACAGGACAGCTTCTTTTAATGTTATCAGGGTTGACAAGAACAAGATGCTTCGCTTTCTGTTTCAAAGCATTCTCTGGTTTTGGTTGGTTTTTTGGGGGGGGAGAGGGGGGAAGGCAGCAGCAGGGGGAGGATGGGAAAGGATATCCAAACTACTAGGATTCAAACTAAGTGATGTATCTACTTTACAACGTCAAAGCCCCATTTCTAGGCTGCATGAGAGCAATCCATGATCTGATATGAGACCCCAGGAAAGGAACTGAGTGCTAGAAAGCACTGAGAACCCCTTCTAAGCAAGCTGGAATTTTTCAGGTCAGACTCTCAATTCAAATCGAGCCTTTCAAATAGGGTATAATAAATATGCAATCAAAACCCAAACACGCAACAGGCATGCTGTCAAAACTGTCCTACAATTTGCCTGACACTGCAGATCACCTCCAGCGCTCTGCTCCGGCTCAGCCGCCCCGGCAGCGGCGTGTGCCACAGTCACGCTCTGTCACGTCCTTTCAGCAAGAGCCAAAGTATCTTAAACACAAGTTCCATCCCAGGGACCGATGAACGCCTCCTGACTGGTGACAACATTAGTAACTGCAGATGACAACTGCGTGACACTGCTTTGGTACATGCAGAATTGGGAAATCGTGCAAGCAGTTCCCATTTACAGGCTTGCAGTCCCGGAGCCCGGGCTCGGTGTGACCGCAGGGATTTCCTGTGCACCTACGCTCCTGCCTGCCACCGAGCCCGAGGTGAACAGCCCACCACACATGAAAATCAAGAGTTTTCTCGGTGAAGAAACGCCTTTCCTGGAAGAGTAAGACACAACCCCGCGGCACTGGTCATTCTGGTTCTGTGCAGACTCGGCAGCTGACGGGATCGGGCGGCCGGCGTGGCAGGGCAGATGGTGAGGAAGATGGCACCGCGCTGCTGAGAGGGTCGCCAGATGTGGCATTTCCAGGAAACCTCTGGTTAGTCGAGAACATTACAATGCAAACCTAACAGGCGAATCCCCTGATGGCGCGAGATACTTAATGCACAACAACCCCGGGTGCCAACAGACAACTTCAGGGACTTGCCAATTAAGACACTGCAGAGCACAGGGTCTGGGTCTGTGGATCTTATGACCACATAAGGAAATCTGCAGGCAAAGCATGGAGGAAGTTTACTGTTCTCGTTTACAATAAAAGGACAACAGAATCCTTCTGTTATAACCACCGAAGCGGAAGCGTCCACCGTGTTTCCATTGGGATGGCAAGGCAATACACAGCTCGGTGCAGAGCTCAAAGGCGTGCCTCCCAGCGGCCACTCGGTCATCCCCGGGAGGGGTGCTTACCCACCAGCGGCATCCCAGAGGAGACGGGGGTCTCCTCTCTTTCCTACCGGGGTGAAGATGGAAGCGTGACGCGTTTCCCCCTCCAAGGGGAGCGGCGAGGCTGCGCAGGACACCCGTCCCGGGACGGCAGCGCAGAGGGAAAGGGCAGCTCCCCGGGGGGGCCGCAGCCCTGCCTGCCCCCCGGCACGGGTACCGCAGGCTCGGCGAGCCCTCCCGGGCACTCGCCCGTGCTCACGTCCACCTTAGCTAGCTAGGAGAGGTCGACTCCGTAGAGCTAAACGTAACACATTACTGAGCCACTTGGGGATGGAGGCCTATCGCAGGACTGTAAATCAGCTAACCAGCCCGAGAAGGAACATTATGCTTCAGAAGAACGTAAAACAGAAATTGCTCTGCACTGCGGAGAAGAACTAGATCTAGCTCAAGCTTTCTGTCCCCTCCCTACCCTTTTGCTAGGGCTCTGATCAATGGCCTCCTCCAACAGAAAGTCTGGGGCGCTGCACCGAGTGAGAACTGCCCCTGGGAGGGAGAGATTTAGTTGGGGTTGGTGGACAGTTTTGCTTTTCCAAGAAGTTCCTCCTATTCTTCATTTTATGTTTCTCTTTCAAACTCATTTGTCTTGGCAGACTGCACTTTTCCTCCTCTTCTGCAAGGATTTCATCTGAATGCAAATGGAACATTGCTTATTTTACTTTTAGGCTTAGATGAAGAAGCTATTGGAAAAAGTTTGTTGTGGGTCATACTCTGAAAGCTGACCTTGGTCTCAAAAAGGATATTGAGGCTTCTGCTGCTGTTCCTGGGGAAAGGAGAAAAAAAAAAAAAAAAAGGGTTTTTTTTTAGAATTAATTACAAACTCTGTCTCAGAGGGCCAGAGTTTCTGAAAGCACTTGTGATCGGCCAAAGCCTTCTCTGACCCATTCTCTCATCCCTGCTTCCGAAAATGAGAACAGGGTGGACGGAAAGAGATGAGGAGTTTGGGTGACTGGGCGCCTGCTGGGGAGCACCCCCGTGCCCCCACTGCACAGCCGAGAGCCGGGGCCGCCGGCGAGCCCGCACAGAGCCCGGGTCTGTCACCACGGGGCCACGGCCCCGCTGGAAACAAGAAACAGTTTGTGCTGCCACCAGCCCGTGGCTCACAGCGTGAAACGGGGCTCCCAGCTCCCAGGCATGACTCCTCCGTGGCTGGTTTCCACATTTGGAACGAGAATGAGAACGGAAACAGAATCCGTATTTTTCCAAAACATGCTTCAGTTATAATAATACCCCATGACGAACAGAGGAAGGAACAGGCTCTTCCGGGGCCCCCTGCCCTGCCCGGCTCTCACCGAGGTGCTGAGCCTCAGCAAGGGAAACGTCGCAGCCGCAGCGGCCCCGCAGCCCCCGCCATCCCCGCCCGGCAAAGCGGCTCCTCCGGCCGCTCCCGGGCCGTGCCCGCGGCGCTGGGCGCCGGAGCAGAGCAGGGGGGTGCTCTCCATCAACCCTCCCCCGGGAGAGCGGGGAGAGGGCCCGCGCGGGGCACAGGCCCACGAGGGAGCCGGACGTGCACACGCGTGTGCACCCAGGCGCAGGGGAGCGGCGGGCCCTGGGAGCGCAGCGGCGCAGGTCGCCCGGGGGGTGCGCTGGGAGGGTTACGCTTGTGAGATGGTGCAGGGGAGGGACGGGCAAGCGCCCCTCTGGGCCCCCCCAGGACACCGGGTGCTCACCCACCATGAGGGTGAAAGCCTCCAACCCGCGGCACTCACCACTTCGTCCTAAGTCCCAAGGGTAACCCTCTCTTCTCCTGAGGCATGTGAAGAGCTACGACTCATCAGGGCAGGTGGATCTGCTTGAAACTGAAGCTTGACGGTGTGAGGCGTCACACACCGAGTCCAGGGGATGTGAAGCCTAAAGCTACAGCCCGCCAGCCCACGGGGAAGCCGCGGGGCCCACAGCAGAAGTGCCAGGGAAGAAGCAGGCTGGCATTCACCGGAGCAAGCTGTTATCTGCAGGAGCTGGCACAGCTCGACGAGACAGCCCCAAGAGGAAGGAGCCTGGCGCCGGGCAGCTGATAGGGGACCGGAGCGTGCCCCAGCCTCTGACACCCGAGAAGGTTAACTGAAACCAAACTGCCACGCTGCAGCTCCTGCCTACCAGACCCAAAAAGCTCAGATTCAGATTCCCAGAAAGGCTGACCGCTCGCACTGCTGTGGAAACTGAATATAAGGCAGGTAAAATAACTGTCAGCGAAATGAACACCCAAACCCATCACCCAAAAGCAATGAATAATTGACCATCATGGCTTTGACCTGGGAGTCTCAGAAATAAGAGAGGGGGCAAGAGTACTCACAATAGCGTAAAGACAGTTTGTCTCTGAATATACCCCCTTATTTCACTGAGAAAGAGCCAATGAAATTTGGGGAAGGAAGGGACTGCAGGTCCAGGTTAACACGCACTGGCTGAGTAAAGGATGTGCACATGGCAGCAGTGCTTCAGCAAAAGGTGCATCCATGTGTCTGTGCCTCTGGGCCCCTTCTTGTAAGGTGATAAACACTCATAAAAAGAAAGCCCATGAGGAAATTGTGTATTTAACAGAGGGTTTGGGTGACGCGCTGTAAAGCAGGGATCAAATCAGGCACTAAGTGTTTATAAACACTAATGTATGCAACTTACATATTTCACTTTTTTAAAAAATAAACATGCAAACCTCAATCTCACTCCTGAGATGTCTCTCAGAATACACTACCTACCCACATTCATAGAAAAGGTATTAGCTTTTCCATTTCCCTACATTTCCACTAATTTTGTGCTTGCTTTCAAAGCCTCCCAGTAAACATGTGGGAAGAATAGGAAGGGAGGAAGATAAACAGGTGATTAAGGTTAAAAGGAAATAAAATAAAAGAAGAAAAAAACAAGTGCCATGCACCACAGATTCACCACTTCTCCCAAGAATACATCTCAGCCTTTGAGCACGCCCCGAGCCCGCGCAGTCCAGCGCAGGACACTCCCATTAGCAAGAGCAGAAGCTATCAGGGCAGGCAGCTTCACAGAAAAGGTCACAGCCAGGCCTGGGAACGCTTTAAGAAAAGAAAACACCAGCCCTTAACTTAAGATCGTTTACGGCTTTGCCAGCTGCACAAACGTGGCTCTCTCGAAACGAGTCCGACGCTGATCTCCATGGAAGTACGTGCAAGTCCCCGAAAATAGCCCCGGCCATCTGCGGCGCCGGAGCTCGGCGGCAGAGCCGGGGGCCGGGGCCGGGGCCGGGGCAGCGCCGGCGGTGAGTAACCCCGCTCCGACGGAGCCGCACGTCCCCGCGCCGGGAGCGCTGCACGGCCAACGGCCAACGGCCCCGCGCTCGCGCTTCAGGAGGGAGCCTCTGCCTTTTCACTGCGTGCCTCTGCACCTTAACACCACGCGCCAGCCTCCCTCTCGTTAGCTGTCATTTTTTTTTAATTGGCAAATAAGGTGAACAGGAAATCACCCACGCGTCGGGCAAGCCGCAAACAAATTACCTAGAACACAAATGAGCAGTCCTAACTGTAAATAAATACAGAAAACCAGGGCAAACCCCCCCCACCTATTAGGCTGAGACGTGGAACAGCCTCAAGCTACACCACCAGACCGCTGCTCCACAGGTAAGGATTGCTCTGTATTGTGTATCTTAGCAAGAGAAGTTTTTCTTAAGCAACTACTTTTGTTTTAATTTATGACCGAGGAAACATAACTATGTAAAACTCATAGTTTAAAACATCAGAAAATAGAATTGAACTCCAAATGTTTAAATGACAAATGTTATAAATAGAATATTAAAGGGAATGATTTCTTTATTTGAGCCACATTTTACTTCTTTTAAATATCCAGTTTTGGGACAATAAAACTACTAATCACTAAAATGTTTTACTGACATACTCATACTAGAATAATTCCAAATTTGGTAGGACAGTTGCTTCTGAAAGCTGGTCTGTTTAATTCTCTAATATCAAACCATAAACTGACCGTCCCTAGTACCCTGGTCCCAGCTTTTCCTCGTACATGCACCATTCCCTAATTCGGATCCTATGGCTGATGGGAGACAGGAAGGATCTCGGGGGGGGAGGGGGGGGTTGAGCCTTAATAAAAAAGCCACTATTTGGGTTCGATCTGAAAATGATCCTACATGCAAACAGCTCAAAGCATTGCCCAAGTTTCACTGTGAATATCAGGGTTTGCACAGATACTTCACAGGCTCTAATCTCTTAATGCTAAAAGGTTGTGGGTCCAGAGTAATTTAGACCCGGGTCTAAAAAATCAGAAATGAAAGTAGAATGAAAAATTTAAGTTCTCAGGAAAACTAGACCGCTAAATTTCAGATTTCAAAACTAGTAGGGACTCCTGGACAATCAGAAGAAAGGAAACAACTACTGGTGGGTTTTGGCAGACAGAAATAGAAGCTCTACCCTTGAGGTGCCCTCACGCTGCACCCAAATGAGCGCGACTGCGTAAACAACCTTATCGCAGCGGGGCTTTGTACCTGCTGGCTCTCCCCACGCGCCCTGTCCTTCAGAACACCAGAAACTAATCGCACGTGCCAGGGCTCGTACATCACCTACGACCGAACTGATGGAAGAACTTTGGTGGGGAAAACCTGCCGTGCGCCGCCCCGATGCCGCTTCCCGCGGCCGCCCGCCCCGGCCAAGCCCGCGGCGCTCGCCAGGCCCCTGCTCGAGCTCTGCCTGCGAACCGGGCAGAGGGGACGCGGGGCCGGGGGGCTCTGCACCGCCCCGGCGCCCGCACCCCTGCCAGGGCAGCGCCGGGCTCGGCACCGCCGTCACCCAACCGGGGGACCCACACCCTCGCCTCCCTCATCGCTGGGTTGCCTGAAAACAGCAGCTCGTGCCGCTTTTTTTAAAGGGTGGCCTGACATGGGAGGGAGGAAGGGAGGAGGGGAGCAAGCGGAACAAAGGCTCAGTACTTAGATCTGCATCGGTTTGAGAAACCGGTGGTTTGCATCCGGCTGGAAATGCAAATCCGTTCAGAATTGTAAAAAAGTCAATTCTTTCTACTGCAATACTGCATACTTCTGGAAGGTGCTAACAGGACTCCTCTCAGCCCAGGCACTGGCAGGAAATGTTTGTAGCGCACTGAATGAAAAGCTTGGGAATTGTTTTTGCAAATATAAGGAATGAAAAACACAGATACAGTCATTAGCTCATCTTCACCGAGCCCCGAAGGACGGCGGCCCGAGTCGGAAGAGGTCTGAGGCCAGCTCCTCGTTTGATTCATCCCACGTTCAGGAAGTCAGGAGTTCGTAAGTAAAGTGTCACCGCACGAAAAAATACCTCCCTCCACCGCCGCCTGCCGCCTCCCGACCACGACATCCTGAATTTTGCCTTTTGGGATCAAAAGCGGGACGTACTGTTCAGATGCACAGAGCTCGTCACGCTTGCGTCCCTCCCCGCGCCCGGCAGGGCCGCAGCAGGACGCGCCCGCGGCGGCGGCAGCCAGCGCCTCGGGACACGCGGCCCTCCCAGCCCCTCCCACGGGGGACACCCCGAGGAGGCGCGCGCGGCCCGGGCAGCAGGAGCTGGAGGGCAGAGCTGCCAGGAGCCCACCGCCCCCCGAGCTCGCGCGTCCCGCCCGAGGGAGCGAGCGGGCAGCGCCACCGCGTCAGGCGCCAGCTCAGATACTCGCTCGCCGCTTCCTTGGTTTCTTCTGCCATTCTAGTTCTGCTCACCCCTTTTTCTCCACCGCCGTCTACACATCCATGACAAACGAGAACAACTACCACCCAATGCGCCACTTGAAAGGGCTGAAATAGCACATAGTGTATTTTGCATACTTTTATTCTCTTAAGTATTAAAATCCAGACATTGCCTTATGACAAATGTTATGATAAGAACAGAAAAATAACGAAATCTCAGTCTCCTGGCAAACTTGCAAGAAGTCAAGTGTACCAACATATCTCCACATCTGCTGCAAAAAATGCCTTCTGGGGGAGACCTGGAATTCCAGCAGTGGGCCCGGAATGTCCCTACCCGGGCGGCCACCGGCTCGGGCACCTCTGCGGCGACGCAGACAGGGAGCAGGCCAGCCCCGAGCCCACCCAGGCGAGCAGGGAGAGGGGCTGTCCCTCGGGCAGAGCCTGGGAGTTTGAATACAGGAGGAACTAAGCATTTTTTATGGTTTATGCAACTTTCCTTTTGTGTATTATGCCAAGACGTGATTTGAAAACCAAGAAAGTTCAAACTTTTGTATACTTTACCAAATCAATCTTGTTCACTTGGTGAACTAAGTTTGCTGGTTTTGCACAACTGGTCAATATTATCCGTATAGAATAAATATACTTTATGCTGGACCAATCATTTGAACATGAAACGCTGCTCAAATGTGAGAGGCTATTCTCCCCTACAAACCACAAACTGCTCGGTGCTAATGCATGCCCTCCATCACATGCCAGCAGTTATGCAGCAGCAAAAAAAAAAAAAACAGCAGTGCTTTGAGAAGTGGGGAGGAAAACCAAAACAAACCAAACCTCATTAAGCTTAGTCAACACCTCAAGGAGCATTTGGACAAACAGGTCCTGAGCTGACCCCCCAATTAACATCAAGTGAGGAGTCTCCAACTTACAGACGAACCCCAGGGCGGAACGGGGGGTGCGCACCTCTGCTCATTTCGAGCCACGCATCGCACGGGGGAGCCACAAGTTCTCCCCTGAGAAGAGGCTGCTGTCGTTGCCAAGGTTTAAGGGCAGCCCGAGCAAGAGCGCGGCCAGGAGGGGGGCGGAGGGGCAGCCCCTCTGTGGAGCGGGGCTCGGCTCCCGCCGCCCAGCGCCCGCGCGGCCAGGGGCCGGCGGGGCGCGAGGAGCCCGATGTGCCGCGCAGCTGCACGCCGGCCACTCCGCTCGGCGGAGCCGCTACCAGGGCGCAGGAGCGGCCCCCCGCGGGCCCAACGCGGGGAGCCACGGCCGAGGGAGGGAACAGGCTCACCAGGCAGCGGCCACCGCCGCCAGCGCCGAGCTGTTCAGAGCTCGGGGGACAAGGCCCTTCAGCCAGAGCTGAGCGCGCGACGAGGGGACAGAAGGAGCAGACACAACCGATGGCAACCACGCGTGACGCCGTGCGCGGCAAGGAGGGCGCAAAAGCCTCTCGCCCTACCCGTGCAGTGACGGGCCTTAGGCTGACCCTGACTGCTCCACCACTGTCCCCAGCCCATTTCCAAGTCCTCCTGCAAGCTCGGAAGCCTTGTCTGCAGTACTGACCTCGGGGTGGTCTGAGCAGGCGTCGCACTGCGGGAGCCCCTCGGCACCGCAGAATTACACCGTCCTGTGTTACGACACACAGCTCTAACAACTGTGTTTTCTTGGCTCTCACACAGGTCTCCCGCCAAGAGAAGAGGCCCTGTGGCCAACAATGGAAGGCACTCTAGACCCTTGAACAAAGAGCACCAGAGCGGTCACATCGAGAAAGGTAAGGACGTGCCATTGGTATTGAGAGATTTGCAGAGTCGAGCTCTGACCCCGGCCTCCTCCTCAACCACAGACAGTTGATAAATCTGCTGGGGTGAAATGTAAAATTTGTATAGGGTGCCGCCTTCCACGTTGCACAGGCTCAAATTACTTTACGAAATTCAATGTCCACAACTCCAATCACACATTTCTGCAAAAATCCTTTGTTGTATGGTGCCTCAACACAAAAAGTACTTCATGAACTCCCTAAGCTATTTTAGTGTCTGCTACTAAGTCCAAGCACAGAAAGACCTACCTCCAGCAGTTTTGTTTTAGGAAAGCCTCCAGAGTAAGAACAAGTTCTAAACACAGCATATGCAGAGAGGGGGTCCTGCTTAGGCAGCCTGACAGGAGGAAGAGAACAGGCACACAACAGACAGCAATGGGAAGAGAACAGTTTTTAAATACAGCGCGTTACCATCTTAAATAAAAATGCCATTCACTGTTGGTGCTTTTCCAGAAGATCCTTCTAGTTTTAGCAATACCACCTCAAACCTTACTCACTATTACCTCCTAATCCTAACTGCACCTATTCATATGGCAGTTACAACACTCACCCCACACAATCTTTTTCCTTTAAAAACCCAACCAAAAAGAACCAAATGCCTTGATGACTAGAGCTTAAACATACGGATGGAATGGCAGATCCCCATCTGGGAGAACTACCAGGAAGAGATTAACTGGAGGCTTTGGGTGCAAGCATGGGTAAACGCCTGCTCCCTTGCTCCACCCATCCATCCAAGTTCCAGAACAGCACCTAAGCTGGTCAGCCTTTGCAGTGTCAGCAGAAGAGATACACCAGAGGAAACAATTTTACTTATTTGAAATAAAATTTCTGCTTCTAGTTATTGCAAGGTCACGTTCAGGTTCAAACCTGCTATGCAGAAGCATCAGCTACTGACTGAATTGTGGCAATCAGGTAAATCTTTATTTTCTAAAAGATGAGGTGTTTTTTTTTTTTTCCCAGCTCCATGGCTCTTATTTTCCAGTTGCCTAGGTTTTCATTTGCCAAATACAGCAGCATTATATCTGTATCTGTTCTGCCCTCTCTACAGAGGATAATCCACCCCCGTAAACATTCTGTCAAAGAAAAACAGACAGCAGATGTGGTTCCTTCTTGGAGACCCCCTAGAATTTAAATTTGAATGACTTGAGAGGACAGCTCTAGCTCCCACGTTATGCTAACACACAGACACGCTCCTGTGTGTCGTGCTAGTGAAAGTTTAAAGCAAACTGTCCTAGCTGCACAGACGGATTTCCTTCAAGTGAACATCAGAAAATATTGGCGTACGCTACGTATTTCCACACTTGCCTGACAGAAGAGCGGGGGCTATGCCTGTGTACAAAACAGAACACTCATACAAGGAATATTCACATCCCTCACATGCTTCCCAGCAAACCAGTGCTAAAAACATACCGGTCCTTGCGGGTTAATGGGATGTATTTGGAGTCACAAAATCGCTGTGGCTCAGTCCCCCGCCTAGCTCGCGGCGCGTAGGCTTGCACGGTGGAAGGGGGGCAGCCCGGGGTTCGCAGGCAGCAGATCAAAGAGGGAGGCAGCCGGGCCCCCTGCTCAGAGCAGCGCTGCGCCCCTGAACACCATCAGAAAGGGAGATGGCACCACTTGGGAAATACTAACTCAGCATCCCTGCTGGCGATGAGACGGTGTGGGGACGTGGCCGTTTCTGAGAAGTATGCCAAGTTTATTTTGAAGTAAGAGTAGAAATCTTACACTAATTAATGGGCAGCACAGCGCCTTTTTATCTTAATGAGATCATCTTTGTCTGCTTCCAGGAAAAAAGATATTGTAAGATGTTCAACACCAGCACAAGCTCCTTGGGAAACAACTGCAGTCACAGCACAGTGATAACTAAGACAGTCATTCCCCTGGTCTACTGTTTGATTTTCATAGTAGGACTCTTGCTGAACAGCGTGGCAGCATGGATCTTCCTGTACGTTTCTAGCAAAAAGAGTTTTATTGTCTATCTCAAGAACATTGTTGTTGCCGATCTCCTAATGAGCCTAACATTTCCTTTCAAAATTCTTGCTGATTCAGAGATTGCACCGCCACAGCTCAACACGTTTGTGTGCAGATACTCTGCCGTTGTTTTTTATACAAACATGTATATCGGGATCACTTTTTTTGGCCTCATCGGTTTTGACAGATACTACAAAATTGTAAAGCCTTTATTCACCTCCTTTGTTCACACGGTTAAATACAGTAAGGTGGTCTCTATAATCATATGGTTATCATTAATGATTATATCAATTCCAAATATTATTTTAACTAGTGAAATCACTAAAAAAAATTATTCCAGAAAATGCATAGGGCTTAAAAGTGAGCTTGGCAGACAGTGGCACAAGGCATCAAGTTATATTTGCACAGGGATTTTCTGGGTCGTTTTTCTTCTGCTAATCATTTTTTACACTTCTATATCAAAAAAAATATATAGCTCCTATAAAAAATTCAGAAGGAGCTCAGATGTGACCAAGAAAAAAACCAGCCGTAATATATTCAGTATTATGTTTGTTTTTGTCGTTTGCTTTGTACCCTACCACCTCTGCAGAACTCCGTACACGCTAAGTCAGACCAGCTCCCAATTCGACTGCCAGTCAAAAGCAGCTCTGTTCTACGCAAAGGAGTTTACTCTCATGCTGTGCGCCGCGAACGTGTGCCTTGATCCCATTATTTATTTTTTCCTCTGCCTACCCTTTAAAGAAAAGCTGTATCAAAAACTGCGTCTCAAGCTGAAAACTTCAAGTGAGGTTGAAATTTCTAAATCCAGAAGATCAAACACACTTCGGGAAAGTGTAAACATAGTGTAGGCTCGGGTCTGTAAAATAATGCACATTTCAGAAAGTTATTCAAGAACGCAAATGCCTCAAAGAAACTGAACAGACGAGAACCAGCAATAAACCAGAAAAAAAACGCTTCAGCATAAAACACCAAGTGGTGTTTCTCTGCATAAAAACATTATTGCGTGTTGCCAAGATATTTACTCCGTGCTATTTCAGCGGATGCTGTGATTGCATTTCGGTGCGATACGACCTGTCTGGATCTCAAAACGAGAGAGAGGAGTAACTGGAACACCACGCTGCGGAGCCTCCGGGCCGGGGTTCTCTGCCCGCATTATCCAACAGACCCAAGAATCACAGCGATTTGCTGCGGCTCCTCAGGCAGCGGGGCCGGGGGCCGGCTCGCTGCAGCCCGGCCGGCGCTGAGCCCTCGGGAAGCTCAGCACGAGCCTCTGCCGGGGGCTCCTCCGGCCCTGCCGAGGGGACCGAGACCCCGAGGGGAAGCTCCCTCGTGGATTCAGCGGCTCCCGAAGCAAAGGCTCGAAGGCAACGTGCAGCCTGGGGAAGGGCTCTACTGTGACAACTGGGGGGGAGGGAAAGAGAAGGAAAGAAAAGGAAAAAAGGGAAAAAATACCCGCACAGAGATCTGCACAGAGCCTGAAAAACCCCTGGTGAAATTAAAAATAGGTGTACAAATAGGTTTTCTTTGGGGAAATATTCTGTAAAATTAAAAATTAAACGTGACTATCAGTCACCCTCGGGCACCAAATGTCCGAATATTTCCGTAAAATGTGATGTTCAAGTGTTTAAAGAGGATCCTGCTGTAAACTAAACAGCACAGTTACGCTGTACCATATTGCTCAGGACTTTTCTGAAATAACACGGTGTACACCAAAAATGTTCACGCCAAACTGACTGAGACTTTAGTCACTCCCTCGCTGTTGTTGCAGGAGGTAAGAACACTCAAGGAGCTGTTTGAAAAAAACACACCAACAGCTGTCTGGAAACTCGGGTATATTTAAGACTAGAAAGAATGCTTTGTTGGTTTTCCCATGCTTCTGGCGCAATGATAAAGCACTTCTCTCTGCACCAAGGTAATAGCTGAAAGCCACCAACCTTCTATATATAAATATAATCTCTTTTTAAACTGTATTTTTCAGTGCATCTTTTTTTTTTTTATTGATTGATCTTATCATTGTACAGGAAAAATACACCAGTGCATAAAGTACCCGCAAAAGCTTTCAGGCAGTGGCTCGGGGAGCTGACTGCTTTCGTTTTACTTAACAGAGAAAATACAGGAACAGAATGAGAAATAACACGCGCTTCACCTTTCTGCCGCCGTGCTTCATTTCAGCCCCAACAGGTAACCCCTGAGGGTGAGGGATTTTTGAACATACGCTCTCTGAACCTCCTCCGGGGCTGGTCCGAGACCACCGATCCCGCCATCCCCCAGGATTCCGCCCCCCCCCGAGGGGCCAGGCAGCCCTGCCGACTTGGACCGCCCCGGGGGGGGTCCTGCCCCCCACTCGCGTGCCGCTCGCCCCACGGGTGGCCCCGGCCCCCAGCGCAGCAGCGCCCACGCAGCCGGGCCCTTCACTGGCTGCGGGGCTGGGGGACCTGCAGCCCGAGCCAGCCCGGCGGGGCTGCAGGGGAAAGCTGCCTTTTGGGGGTGTTCTTTAAAGAGAATACATAAAAGATTATTTACACGGCTCTTTCAGAGCTCCCTGACTCCTGTCAGACTGAGGCTTCGCAGGCTCTTCCCTCCAAGCAAGGGAAACTGCCTGTTGGGGAAGGGAATCTGTTGCTTTGTGGGAGACTTTTCATCATTTATGGCAAAAACATTTAGTTCCTTACATGGCGTGGCTTGGCATTCATCTACGTAAATCTGAATAATTGCAGCTGTGAAAGCACACTGGAATACAGAGATGAAAACACTTCCACGATGTATATTTGTGTAACTCTTTAATTACTTTGCAAGCTTTGAAAAAATTATTTTATTGTAAAATTGTTTCCTCACCCCACCAGACTGCTGATATTAGAACAACAAAAATCTACATACAGGCACCCAAGGGAAAGGATGGTGACCTGCACCCTTTTTCAAAAGTGACACTAAATTTCTAGCTTTTGGTCCGCTCTGGGAAAAATCTTCCTCCAATAGCTTCACTAGTCAGAAAATGCTTCTGTGACCCCCGATCCTACTGCAAGCTGCCACCCTGTGTGTGACAAGTCTCAAATAAAATCATTATTAAACCAAGCCTTTGCTCCATTTCCCCAACCTCGCTCTTCACTTTGCTCTATGTACTGGGGTGGAATGGGAAGGGACCCATTTTTTTTCCGCACTGGGTAAGTTAAGACTTCCCCACCTTTCCCAGGGCATCACACCCCAGATAATCCCAGCCAGCTCCGCAGACACCAGAAGTCTTGGGGTCACACCAAGCACCAGCTCTTCCCCTGTTGACCTACCACCTGGAGGAACTTCCCCAAAATTCTTGCCGTGCAAGTTATGGGTAACCCAGAGCTACACAAGGCTGCCTTTCAACAGCGGCCCAGCCCCCCACGGCAGCTCATCCTCCCAACTGACTGGTGCCCCCCTCCCTGGCACTGCAGGAGCAAGAGGCTGGGGCTGGTTCATTTATTCTTTGATTATCCACCCGGCCCGGGAACCTCCGGCAAAGGTCTGGTGCCCCCGGGAAGAGCAAGCCTGCATCACGGGCTGCCCACAGACGTCCGACACGCACGTTTGCACGGAGAAGTTGTCGCCTCTCCCCCGGCCTGGTGGAGCTCCCAGTCACCCCTTCGCAAGGAGACACTGTTCCGCTCTTCAAAACCTTGAGATAGCACCCAGGCAGGGTGGCATAAATCTGCTTTAAAAAGCCCAGAAACGTCTCACATTTTAAGCTAGGCATCACCCCATAAGCCTGCCCCAGCCTTCACCCAGCCATCCGCCCAGCAGCCCCCTCAGCGTTACGCCGGACAACGCCAAGGCTGCAGCCACCGCGCGACGGGTCGCTTGTGCCAGTACCGGAGTGTAAGGCTTCAGAAGGGACCGTTTTCTCTGACACTGATGGAGCACGGTAAACACTATTTCAGGACTACGATAGCGCACAGTAAACACCAGTTCAGGACAGAAAGCTCACTCCACAGCTGCCTCGACTTATAAGGAAATCCCAGTTGTGCAGAAATCAACAATAAGACTCTCATGTAGTTGAATTTTGCAGTATGACACCTCAAAAAATGATCTCTATTGTAAAAAAAAAAAAAAAAACCAACAACAACTTACCAAAGAGGGGGCAGATGCCACTTCAATTTAGGTAGCAAGGCCAGAGAGTCACAACCAGCAGATGTAATGAGGGATCACCTCTTGTACTTGCTAACTGTAACCCGCGAGAGACAGGAAGGAAGGGTTAGTTTCCCTCTGCCAACACCCTCACACATATTCTCCCATCTCACCCCAATAAATGAGTCCTTTATTATTTTTATGAGAAATCTTCATTAGCACATCTATTAATCATCACTTCGGGGCACCGCGTACCCGTAAAACACTGTTCAGACAATGAAAACTGACCACTGACAGCTGACGGAAGGCAGCAGGGCAGGCGCCGGAGCCGCTCGCTGTCCCAGAGCAGGCGGGTGAGCTCTGCAGGCTGCCCAGGATGTGGCTACTGACCCCGAGCACCTGCAGTTCCACCACCTCCCTGTAGTGCCTGGAGTTAAACCACCTCCCTGTAGTGCCTGGAGTTAACCACCTCCCTGTAGTGCCTGGAGTTAAACCACCTCCCTGTAGTGCCTGGAGTTAACCACCTCCCTGGAGTTAAACCACCTCCCTGTAGTGCCTGGAGTTAAACCACCTGCCTGGAGTTAAACCATCCCCCCTCTCCAAAATGCTCAGTGACACAGGCTACACTGAACACATCTTACCTCCTCAATATATTCATATCCTCTGAAATAAATATATGGATCCATTTTTTTTTCCTGCTACAATGGAAATTGCTATTTCTGGTCAGAATTCATAACTACCCTGTGCTAAGACCACTCCTATTTTCCATTTACCATACAGACATTACAATGGGATAAAACATTTTAATCTGTCAATTTGCTAGTTTGTAAATGTTTGTACGTGAAAAAAACTTCTTGGCTATATGATTAAAGGATGGCAAAGACACCACTCAGAGATTGCTCCTCAAAGCCAAACCTCAACACCGAAACAGTGCCTGTGACAGCCGCGCTCGGAAAGAGAGGAAAACTCCCTCAGGACTCATTTGTACCATGTGCTCATTACTGTGCCTCTGACATGGACTTTGAATTCTTCTCTCCAAACTGAAGGTAAGCAGAAAGAAAAATGAACTGCTTGCAAGTGTCTTTTGGTCTTTTTCCTGTCTACCATCATGTCAATGACACTAAACCATGATAAAACCAAGGTTCCCATCAGCTCTCTCCCATGCATTGACTGCAGAATTTCTACCCGTGCATATCTGTCCGGCTGGCACAGGCACCTAAGCACACTCTGAAGAAATCAAAACTCAAATCTCGAATTTTTGGTGTCTTTTAACAGCACATTTGGGCAGAGCGGATCCCGGGAGCGCCGCATCCCCGCCCTGCACCCCGAACACCCCCGCGATGTGCCGGCGGGAGATGGCACGGCCGCACGGGCCGGGAGCGGGGACCCGCAGCGGCCCCATCCTGCTCCCGGGCTGCTGCTGCGAGCCAGCGGTGCTGAGGGGGCTTCCCCCGGGAAAGGGACGGCCTCCCGCTGCCCCACACCGCCCCACGCTGCGGGAAGCTTACGGTTAACTCCCCCCCCAAAGCGCACGTCAGAGTTCTCCCAGTTTTCTCCCACTGCGCCCAGCGCTGGGAAATCTGACAGAGTCCACGTGGGCAGAGCGTGCAAAAAGCCTTACTTTTGTAACTGCTCAAAAACCTCACATAAAGGAATCACGTAACCTTACGCTTGACAATCTTCCTGACTTAAAAGATACAGGGATATGGATGATATAGATTTGAACATCAGCCTCCTAACAGACGGATAAACAGGTGGTTGTGTATTTTCCTCATTTAAAGAGAGGAGATCCCACAGAGCCTTGAGCACCCGTGCCTGACCAGCGCTTGCTAACGTTTAATGTTCTCCAGGACTGAAGACAAGGAACACGCAAGGAAAACGAGGGGCTTGGAGACATCCCCAGAATTAAGGACAAACATAATGTGCAAATGCACACTCGCATGCAATCCTGCCTGGCCTCCTCCAATATAAAATTTTTAAAAGTTGTGCTTTTATACTTAGCTGCACCCCTGACAGCTCCCCGCGGCCCCAGCGCCCCCCCCGCTGCGCCATTCACAATTCCCAGCTCCAAGGAGCCGAGCGCCCGGCGGGGAGACCCCACGAGGGCTCCGAGGTACATCCACCCCCACCCCCTGCCCCGGCCCCCGCCCAGGGGCACCGCTCGCGCTCCGACCCGCCGGACCGCGCCTGCAGCGGGGGGTGCTCAGCAGATGGGGGGGAAAAAATAAATGAACAAATAAAGGTTAAAGCCTGCTCACAGCAGAGCTCCAGAAAACCTCCGGAAACTTTCCGGATGTGAAACCTTTCTCCAGGTGAATGCGCAAAATGTGGAGAGGTATCAGAAGTGATCCGGACACAAGGACCACCTAAACCCTTGGTGCGCCCAATTCAAAACACAAGGCTCCTGCTGCTCTTTTAAAGGGCATCAGGTTTAAAAGGGTTTTTTAAAGGCTTAGATGCTATTTTGCCTAGCTTCGCTCTCAGAAATTATTTACTCATTTTGGCTGAACTCCCACCCACACCAGCACCCCTTCCCTTCCTCACATCGCTCCTCAATCCCAGGAGTCAGCCTAAGCAGGCATGCATCGTGGCAAATTTCAAATCAAAAGTCAAAAATTCAGCAAGGTTTAAACCACAAAAAATAGGGTTTAATGATGAGTAGTGCTTAGCAGCTTTAGCTACAGCAAAATCTACCATCTGCATCTGTAATTTATGAACTAAAATGGCCTTTTACATCAGACAAATGGATAGGGCAAGTGGATGACACCAAACCACAATAAAACCCGAATTAGGACTCAGGAGACTCACATTCCCACGTTTCTCCTCCGTCCAAAACACATCTGTAGGAAGCGTAGACCATTTTTCAGTAAAGGTTTACCTAACCATCACCTTGTCTTTTTAGACCTGGGAAAGTTTTCTGAGCTGTAAACTGACTCTGTAGAGAAGGGGAGACATGAGTGCACACACACACACACACAAAATGACTGACTGCTAGGTTTCAAGTTGAAAGAAAAGAACAAAAGTACGGAAAGATCAGCTTTGCATGATGAGCGTAACGCCGTAAAACTAGCCCGTGTTTGCTCAAACCCGAACACAGGATCATTCCGGGGTATGCAGCTTTGCAAATGTTTCAACAAACATAGTCTGAACTTTATGCTTATGACTAAACTTAAAACCAGACATTCATAATTTGTTTCTTCACAAAGGTCTGGTACGCGATTTGTAAATTCCTGTGGATTCTCAGCTACAAAGTGCTAACATTTAGGAGTTTCACTATCATTGTTAGTACCTCAGTCCTCCAGCCTGGTGTCAGTTATTTTTTCCTGGTTTAAAAAAAAAAAAAAAAAAAAAAAAGCTTAATTATAAACATTTCCTCTATATCCCTAATGTGTCATTTTTATTTTTAATAGTGCTTGGCAAATGTCCAAAGGTTTAGAATTTTAATTGCTATCGGTAGAATCACTATGTGCCTTTAAATCTGCAGATTAGGTTGCAACTCTAGAAAAAAAAACACTAGAATTTCATGCAGGAATATTATAATTAACGGGGGCCAACGACATCGCAAACTCCTGAATCCAGACAGGTTTTAAATGGGGGAGGGGAGAGAAGAGAAAAAGTTTCAGATTTTTTCAGAACAAAAGCAAAGAAACAGCCACTGACGTCGCACACCAGCAGCCCCAGGCCAAGAGTCTGGGAGCAACCTGATGAAGTTTGAGGAACTACAAGAAAAATCCCACGTGCTGGGGCGGCCCGAACCGCAGGCGGCTCGTCGCCCTTGCGAACGTGAACAGACGGAAAGCCTGGAAACGTAAATCTTCCAGCCCGACGGCGGCACCGGCCGCCCCGGCGAGCGGCTCCGGCCTTCCCCGGGGAAGCGGGGTGTGAGCTGCAGCGGCTGCAGCCACCCACGGCGCCGGGGTCCCCCACGCAGCCGGCCCCGCCGTGGACCGCAGGGAGGGCTCTGCGCGCTCCGCCGACGCCTCCGGCCGCCCGACGCCTCCGGCCGAGGCAGCTGCCACGTGGCTGAGCTCTCCGAGTGCCGGGCTGAGCTGCGCCAGTCAGCACGTCTGAAAACCACAGACACGGCTGAAAAAAAAAAAAAACAAAAAAAAAACAGCAGAGGCAGGCAGAGGAAAAGATTTAACACGCTGCTGGGCTGCGAGAGCAGTCGCCGAGAGACATCAGAGCGCCGCGGACCAATGCTGGGGAGAGCCCAGAGCCCACGGAGGCAGGTACGTGCCGTTAGTCGGGGCTCCAGCCGACCTGGCCCCACGCAAACAGACGGCCTGACAGCCCGGCCGGGCTCGAGCCCCCAGCCAAAGAGCCTTCGCTTCGCCTGTGGCCAGCGCCGCTCGGCTGCAGCCAGGCTGGGGCTCGCAGGCTCCGGCTCGCGGCGTGTCGGGGCTCGGCTGGGCGAGGGGAGCGGGGCCGCGGCGCAGGGAAGGCCCCACGGGGCTGCCCGCTCCCCGCGGGGGGCACCCACCCAACCGCCGCCCCCTCGTGTCCCTGCGGGACGAGAGAGACCACCTGCCGAAAGCCAACCGCGAGGAACAAACGGCCTTTCCCCCCTCTTAAATCACTGGCGTATCCGCAGTCGCTTTGGCTGACAAATTAGGCACATCTGGATGCGTATTTTACAGAAGAAAACAAACATGCAAATGCAGTAGTTCTCTTATACTGGATATTAAAATTAGGAACAATATAATAACATAAAAATGTGTTGCAGCCTGATGCTATTCAAGACGTAAATGTATTGATTTTCATTCCAAGAAATTCTAATGAATGTGCCTCTTTCCCACAGACACTCTATGCAGCAGTCTGACAGGGCAGCAAACAGAAACAAGAAAGCCCCTCCGTCACGGAGTGGTGTATTTGGTTAAAATTAGACCAAAATTGTCTACTTCTCTTCCCTCTAATTTCTAGTGAAGCCTAAAAAGTGAGCAAAATTACTTAATAGCTGCTTCTTTCAAAATGTGCTTTTTCTAAATGCTTCATAAAGATACGCAATTAATTTATCCTCTGTTCAAGTAGGAAGAGAGCAGTTTGCAAAAACTTTGCATTGATTAGAACTATTTGCTCATCTATCTGACACATCTGCATATTGGTTTGACAGTGCATTAACTTCAAAACTCCTAGTATGTTTTTATAGAACAACTGCTACAAAAATTACCCCTTTTTTTAGGCATAATTTCAGTTGTTCAAAAGTTATGAAGTTTTAGTATGACCATTATTAATCAGATGCTTAATCTTAAACAGACTCAAACCTTTTTCTTTAGTGCTTTGGTTGACTGGGATAGGGGGGATTGAACCAAACGTTCACTCAGGAAAACTGCTCCAGTGGAAAAGTTTCTCAGAAGTCTATATATTTTCAAGAACAAATCCTAATACATTTCCAACCTTTTCCAACATGAGAACAAAGCCCTCTTGAATAACGGGAGCCTACAAGAAAGCCGGGGAGGGATTTTTTACAAGGGCATGTATTGACAGGAAGAGGAGTAAGAGATTTTAAGCTGACAGAGGGGAGATTTAGGTGAGATGTAAGGCAGAAATTGTTCCCTGTGCGGGGGGGGAGGCGCTGGCCCAGGGTGCCCAGAGCAGCTGTGGCTGCCCCCTCCCTGGAAGGGTTCAAGGCCAGGTTGGACGGGGCTGGGAGCCCCCTGGGCTGGGGGAAGGGGGCCCTGCCCGGGGCAGGGGGGGGGCTCTGGGGAGGGGTTTGAGGTCTGTTCTGACCCAAACCAGGCTGTGATTCTATGATCTTTGAAGCAGCACGAACAGAGAGAAAACTATTTCTTCCCAGCTGCATCTTTTCCATTAAATTAATCGAAAAAAATTCTCAGAGAATAACTAGCGTTGCTCAGAAGTTGTTGATGTCACCTTGGTTCTTTTTGCAGGTTCCTGACATCTCCTAGCAGCAAAACCAACTTGCACAAGAAGTTTACAATGTCAAGCAATATTTCACATTGCCACATTGGCGAAGAAATGGAACCTTTTACCTATTTTTACTGCTTGATTTTTCTGATGGGATTTATTGGAAGTTGTTTCGCACTATGGGCATTCACACAAAAAGATCAGAAACAGAAGTGTATGAGCATCTATTTAATTAACCTCTTAACAGCAGATTTTTTGTTGACTTTGGCATTGCCAGTGAAGATTATTGTTGACCTCGGAGTTGCATCCTGGGAACTGCGAATATTCCATTGTCAAGTTACAGCCTGTTTCATCTACCTGAACATGTATTTATCAATCATCTTTTTGGGATTTGTAAGCATGGATCGTTGCCTTCAGCTAATGCACAGTTGTAAGACCTACCGCATTCAAGAGCCTGGATTTGCCAAGATGTTGTCTGCAGTCGTATGGACAATGGTTCTCCTTATAACAGTTCCTAACATGGCTATTCCAATAAAAACCATCAAAGAGACACCTGGTGCAGGATGCATCGATTTCAAAACAAAATTTGGAAGAGACTGGCACGTGTTCACAAATTTCATATGCACAGCAATATTCCTGAATTTTTCAGCTGTGATTCTGATTTCCAATTTCCTTGTTGTTAGACAACTCTACCGAAGCAAATACAGCGAGAGTTACACAAATGTGAAGAAAGCCCTCATCAACATACTGCTTGTCACTGCAGGCTACCTGCTGTGTTTTGTTCCGTACCACATCGTCCGTATTCCCTACACTTTGAGCCAGAGCGATACCATAACCAGCTGCTCTCTGAAACAAGCTCTCTTCAAAGCCAAAGAATCTACCTTGCTGTTTGCTGTATCCAACCTCTGCTTTGACCCTATTCTGTACTACCACCTTTCCAAATCTTTCAGACTGAAATTTACGGGGGCTTTTGCAGCTCCCGAAGAGGCGAAGGTTTTCACAGACAAGGAGGTACAACACCGAAGCGAAGAGCGGGTGCACGAGTTCTGACTCTAAAACACATCAGAGGAGTGTGCAAACCCGCAGTGCGAGCAGCCGCCGTGCAACTGCAAGCACAGCTACCCCGGCCAACAACTCCTGCCGAACCCCAAGCCCGAGCAGAAGGGAAGAGCTCGAACACCACCCGTGGCTTTGTTCTGCGGTCACAGAGCAGGTCTGAACTGGCAGGACGTGCGCTAACGCCTTGCGGGGACGGTCCAGCGACCCGGCCACGAGCCAGCAGGGATGGACGAGCCACGCTGCCGAATGCTGCGTGTTCAGACAGGCTCAAACGTACCTTGTCCTTATTTATGGTAAACACCTGAACCCACCTGCCCTAAGTTAAATACTGTACACTTACTCTATTAAATTACTTGGTGCAATCAAGCAAAGTGGTTATTATTTAATAGCAGTTCTTCAGCTGCAAAGTTTTCACATATACAATTAACCCAGACGCATTTTAGAGGGCACTATTTACTCCAGAAAGTGATTTTAAACTGCACTGATTAAAAATTATTTTATCTGCTTATATCACACCTGCAGTTCTTATAAATAAATTCCTTGTTCTTGCCAAGTTCCATTTCCTTTTCTTGATGCTGCTTCAGTGAACGTGAAAAAAAGCTAACAACCTGTTACTATAGAAAATTCAAGGAAATTTTAAAATCAAGATAGAGTAAGTATAAATATCCAGTGTGTTCTCTTTGCTTAAATGTGTAGAACAGCACCTAAGTTTATTATTCTTACTTACAATTACTTTCAAAAAATAATCCGTATGTAAAATAATTGAAATTTTTAAAATCAATTTCCACAGGCAAAATCCAGCTACCTGGATCAGCTCCATCTGTAAATCAAAAGTATTTCAGAAACAAAACCAAATCAATTATCTTTTTTCTGATCCTTAAAATCAACAAAGTATGAATCAAACTTTAAACAAGCATTCAAAACTGTCCTGAACAGAAATAGCTCATTCAGTATTCCCATAACAATTCACAGGCCAGAAATCAGAACTAAAACTCTGTACAGCAAAACATTTAAAGCAAAGAAAACCGGGGCTGTCACACCATACTCTCACGTGACACTTCCTGTGTTGACAGGATGTAATATTTTTAAAGTGTTATCACTGCTGTTTAAAAAACGATAATAATTCTCAAGCAGATACATTCCAGCTCAAGACTTGTTCGGCCTTTAGGTCCTTTTTCCAGCACAGCAGAGAACATCTGAGTGGGGGGTTGGGATCGGGAATGTTATTCACGGGGTTTTCTCCAGCTCCCATGAGCCTACAACAAACACAAGAGCAGCAGCCGCAGAAATCCGCGCCAGAGACAGCCAGGCGCGGGTGGGAGGAGGTAACGCCATTCCGCCCCTCGCATTTCGGAACTATTCCTTTCAGATCTCGCGGCAGGCACCCCTCTGTCCAGCCACGGCACCTCCTTTTCTATTTAGCGAACTCTCACCAGCCCCTGGAACGTGGCGGGTTTATTGCGGCGTGGGGCTCCTGGGCCCGAGCACGGCGCCCCGCGCCGCCAGACCTGACGGCGGGGCCGCCAGCCACGCAGCAGTCACGCGGCCCCACGATGGTCACGCGGCCCCGCGATCATCACACGGCCACGCAGCCCCGCGGTCACGCAGCCCCGTGGTCACGCGGTCACGCGATCACGCGGTCACGCAGCCCCGCGATCACGCAGCCCCGCGATCACACGGTCACACGGTCACACAGCCCCGCGATCACGCGGTCACGCAGCCCCACGGCCACGCAGCCCCACGGCCACGCAGCCCCGCTCTCCTCAGAGAACTTGTCTCCCTTCGCCGCTCCGGCACCACGCCGGGAGCGCCGTTAGGCGCGAGCAGGGCGGCCACTCACCAGAGGTATAGGGAAATGCGTCGCATACTGCAGATGGCGAAGGAGGTCGTAACTGGCTGGAAAAATCAGGTCGCTCAGTCTTTCCCTCTTGACTGACTTCTCACCGGTAACGGAAATTCTTCTGTCTAACGAAGAGTTCACATTCTCACACGACTCCCCAGGCATCGGAGAAAAAATCTAAGTCATGTAAAACAAATGTTTAAGGTAAGTGTAACCTCTAGCTTTCAAAATTCAGCAACTGCATTCAGGGCTACGATTCTGTTCTTGCTTACAGTCACTCTTTAGACATCCGAGCTTTTTCAAAGACAGACAAAACAAGGGCAATCGTAATCAAGCCTGAAACTGAAGATACGTGTACACGCTGTATCTCTGTGCACACCTCCCTCATTATTAGACAAGTTTTAAATTAGTGGCATTCAGTCAGGAAAAAAAGCACTACGATTCAGAGCAATCTCCTCACTTCTTATGCTGCTGGGACACAGAAACCGCGATGAGATATTGAGGGAAAATAATGAAAAGGGTGAAGTGGAAGGTGACAAGAGACATTGTAGGCAGGCATGGATATGCTCGAAACCACCAATGTGCCAGATGTCAGACAGAAACAGGGGTCCCGACAGCCTGAGAGAGGATCTGCCCTGCCAGGTCTGGGCACAGGAGTCCAGCCAGATGCAGGACGAGACCAGTCCAAAGGAAGAAACCGGGAGATCCGAGAGTCATGCGGTACCAGGCTAACTAAGGAAAAAGAGAGGGGGAAACCGATTTGAAAGACAGAGGCAGAACACAGAACAGTCACTTGAAAAGCAAATGGTATCAGTGGGGTTCCTCAGTGCCAAAGAAGTAGGTAGCTCTGCATATTTATTCATGCTTAACCGTAACAGAGAGCACTCCGAACGTGCTGGGGCAGGGGGGACGGAGGGAAGGGGGGAGAGGGGAGCGAGCGTGCGGGTGGGCAGCTAGGGGACACGGAGAAGAGCAGCAGGCGGTCCCACAGCAGGGATGCGGAGGGAGGAGGTGATGCGAGGAGGGCAAAGGCTGCCGGTGGGAGCAGCGGGGTGGAGCGAGGGGCATGGGGACACACGCGTGGCAAGGGCGAGCAGCACAGGCGAAGGCATGCGGAAAATCAAAAGTCAAACCTACTGGAAATTCCGAACCAAAATCTGCCTTAAAGTCACTCTTGTCTACGTCATCAAAAATACCAGCAGCTCCCGAGTCAATGCCCATATGCTCCATAATATTATGATCCTAATAATTGCCAGAGAGAAAAACAAGCATCAGTCACATTTTACTGAAGGCCCATTTCACCGATCACAGGTAAACCCAAGCACCCCACCTATTTAAGAATTACGAAAAAAGTACTGATGGTAAGCAGCTTCCAGATAATGACTTTTAAATCTTTATGTTAAGTGTTAATTCACAGAAATATTTCTCAAGCTTAAATCTCTAAAATCATAGAAAAAGGCAGGAGCTAAAGGGGGAAACAAAACTTTACAGTATATCCCTGTGAGCAGTTCTGCTCCAGGGACACCTACAGAACAGGAACCTGACTCTTGTACCTTCCCAGGATTTATTTCTTACTTTGTTGTGCTACAAAAGGCAGCTTGTAGAAACTCCCTGTATTTCAGGGCAGACTTGGCCAGGGGACCAATTTAAGAAATATAAAAAAAAAAAAACAATTAAAAAGAAACATAAGAGGGTGCTTTAGCTACCCACAGGCACCACAAGGACTGTGCAGAACAAGAGGCTACATCTCACCCGCAGACCTGAGTTTAAAACCGCCGGCCTCTTGTGCTTGCTTTAGGAAAGGTTACGAACCGCTCCTGTGCTGGGGGGCTGGGGACTGCACCCGCACCGTGCGGGTCCTGGGCTCTGTGCCCCAGCCCGGCCAGGGGCTGAACAGCACCCGGCCAGCGCCCGAGGGGAGCACCCGGCCAGAGCACCCAGTCATACAGCACCCACCCGTACAGCACCCGGCCATACAGCACCCAGTCATACAGCACCCGGCCAGAGCACCCAGTCATACAGCACCCAGTCGTACAGCACCCACCCGTACAGCACCCACCCGTACAGCACCCACCTGTACAGCACCCACCCTGCTCCCCAGCAGAGCACCCAGCCGCACGGCACCCACAGCCCCACGCTACACGGGGGACGTGCAGCTTAACCCAGGCTCCCCACCAACTCCTCCCGGTTGAAGCTCTCCCTCTCCTCACGCAAGCACAGCTGCCATCCAGCCTTCCCACCGGCACATTCAGAAGCCTGCACTGGGCCTGTCTGTCTGCCCCAGGTCACTGAGGTCGCCCGACAACGGTCAGTTCAGTGTACCTGCACCAACAGCAGTATTTACAGCTATACACAAAGATGAAGCTAATGGATCCCATTCAAGTCTTCCCAAAGAGAAAGAGGTAAGGAGACAGATTAAAAAACTTAGTATCTCATATCTGAAATACTAAAGCTCCAGTGAAAAGCTCCATTTAACAAAACAGATTACCAAACATGGTAGAAATAGCATGAAATATTACCTCCAGTTTCACGTCATGATCCTTAGAATAGTGCTCATCCACCGCTTCCCCGTTAGGTGAACGTGGTCTGGTAGTTGCAGTGATTGACAAGTCTCCGCGGGATATTAAAGTGCACATGTACGCATCATGGGAAAAAACATCATGCCGAGTGAATTCAGAAAAAAGCAGCACCAAATTCACAAACTCGGTCTTCTCATGGTCACTATTTGGGTCAGCTACCCACAAAAAAGAAAAAACAAAAAACACCACAAAAGTTACACTGTAGCTTCAATTCATAAATATTTCGGTTTCAACTATCCAAACTGCAAACCCCAGCAAATTAATTTTAAAGGCCTACTAAAAATGTCTGAGGCATCTTGCAGAGGTTTCTCTGTCTCCACAGAACAAACCATTTCCCATCTCACTGGCATGTTTTCGCTGTCAGCTCCAGACAGCGGACAGCCTCAGGACAGCAGTGGATTCCAGAGCATCCTACCCTCTACACCTCTGCCCCAGCCGGGCAAGCGTGCCGCAGCAGCTCAGCACCATGTTCAAATACTTCTTAAATTAAAAACAGGGGGGAATGGGGAAGGACATTCCCTGTGTGAAGAGAAATGAAAGCTGAAGCTGTGGATTATGACAGTCTGCCCAACAGTTGTCTTTTCCTCCCAAACTATACTCCTACAGTAAATGTTACTGTCTTACCTATAGTACTTTGGTATCCATAACATAAAACCTTTTAAAATATTTTCAAAGAACTCAAGATGTCTGCACGCCAAGCCTCCAAGATGTACAAGCAATATTTTATTAAAGCTTGACAGTGCAGTGTATTTTATCTATTAAACACACTCAGGCACATCAGGAAAAAGGTTTGAAATAAATGCATGTTATTCTGCCAGAGCGAAAGCACTAGGCAAACACAACATATAAAATTTTGTTATTAAGTTTTCGTTTGTCAGAGCTGTTTAATTATGACTTGTTTCTGTACCACAGAAAGGTTTGCAACACTGCAGTGAAGAGGAAATAGCTTTATATCGCGCCAGCTCTATCGGGCAGCCAAATCCCCAGCTACAGAACCACCAAACCCAACTCCTCAGCATTTCTTCAAAAGCAAGCTACGCTTTACAGGTTCAGATTAGTCCAGGACACACCACCACTTCTAGTCAGTCATGCCCCCCGCGCCCAGCGATGCCCACCCCGGGG